ATCCTTTGGGATTCCCCTGGTGAGGGGTTAGGCACTCTGCACAAGCTTGTGGTGAGCTGTGTCAGTTTGAGAGTGGTCTCTAAAATTGTTTTCTAGGGCAACAGGGGCTGCCAAGAGTTGGCAGGGAGGCCAGGGGCCAGGGCTGAACTAGGAAGATCCCGAGGCAGGAGATAGCAAGAGAGGGCCACGTGGGAGGCAAAGGTTCACCCAGAAATTTGACAGCCATTATTTCCAGGTGGTGAGATTATGAATGACACTCTTATTTTCTTTGTGTTTTTCTGGTTTGGACTTTTTGTTGTTGGTTTTTTTCCTTTCTTTCTTTCTTTCTTTTTTTTTGCATAACACAGTTATTTCCAAAGAATCAGAGAAACAAAAATCCCCATCGTTGATTCCTATGGGATTTTGCTTTTTGCACTTCTGTATGGTTTGAGTACTTTACAAGGAGATTGTATTTCTCTTATAATCAAAAACAAAAGGGAGGCAGGCAGGCGGAAGAACATGACCTGAGGCAAAATCAATACTTCCTGTTCCTAATCTTAGGAGACCGTGAGAATTCCCAGTGGGGCCATGTCTCGGTGACCAGGACATGGGAACCGTGGAAAATGTGGGGCGAGCAAGTGACAGCACCATATTTTACTTGTCATGTTCTTTTCAAGACTGTTACTTTTGTTGGTCGCAAAGAATGTCTCTAGTTAATACATCAAGTCATCTTAGAGCATTTGACGGAAGACTTAACTCCTTAATTCCATGAAGGCAGTTTGGGATCTCTAATTACTTAATTGAAAAAAGGCACACACTTCAGGCTGCCACAGTGTTTGGGAATTAATCTTTAAAACCTGACAGTGAACATTAAATTCAATTAAGGAGAGCGATTGGCAAAGATTCTTCTCTCCTTCACCCTGGGTAGCTTTGAGAGGTAGCTGACTGGTCTGCATTGATTCTGATGCTATCGTTGTCTGTGCATCAACCAGGAGAGCCAGGTGTGCGTTTTTCACTTCAGAGAGGACTTGTCAGACAGTTACCGTTTGATGGATCTCCTTAAACACGCTTCCGTGGTGGATTCGGGAGGCCCCTGGCCAAGAATTCAAACGTTCTGGTTTGTTGCTTTTGGCCTTGGATGTCACAGAGTTCAAGTTTTCTTTCTTTCTTTCATTACTGCCATGATCTTTCTCCCCCTCCTCCCCCCTCCTCCTGTTCCCTGCTCTCCTCTCCCGGCTGCCTCCTGCCTTCCTCCTCCCTGACCTCCCCATCCCCTTCCTCCTTCCTCCTCCCTCCTTCCCTCCTTCTCTCCTCTTTTTCTTCTTCTCCTCCTCTCCTCATTAATTTAACATTTTTATTTTAAATTATGAAATGTTTTAAGCATACTCAAAAGTATAGAAAGTAACATAAGCGATACAAGGTGCCTGCCCCTTGCCGTGTTAAATCCAGGGATCCATCCCCAGTTCTCACCTGGAGGACTTCTCAGCAGCATTTGATGTGTTGATCAGTCTCTTCTCAAAACACTTGCTCTTGGCTTCCAGGATACCTGTCTTCTGTTTCTGCTTCTACCTCACTGGCCGTTCTTCTCAGACTTCTTTGGTTTCTCCTTTTCCATCCCCTGCTCCAAGCCTGTGAACACCGGAGGCCCCTGCTGAGATGTGGGACTCCTCTCTGGACTGTCTACATTGATTCCTGTGGAGAGCTCGTCCAGCTCGGGACTGAAACACCATTTCAGTGGCAACGACTTCCAAAGCTCAGTCTCCACCCTGGACCTCTCTTTTGAACACCACACAAGTGTATCCAAGAACTGTCCCCATACATTTCAAAGTCTGTCTACAAATGCACGAGTATATGAGATAGGGTTTGTGTGTGTGTGTGTGTGTGTATTTGTAAAAATTATAGTGAAATAGACATAACCAAATTTACCATCTTAACCATTTTAAAGCGTACACTTCAGTGGCATTGAGCACATTCATATTTTTGTGCAAACTTCACCACCATCCATCCACAGAACTCTTCATCTTATAAAACTGAAACTCTCTCCCTATTAAACTCCCCATTCTCTCCTCTCCCAGCCTCTGGCAACCATCACTCTACTTCCTGTCTATGTGATTTTGACTACTCAGTGTTCCACATGTAAGTGGAGTCAAATAGTATTTGTCGTTTTGTATCTAGCTTATTTCACTTAGCGTACTGTCTTCAGGTTTCATCCATGTTGTAGTGTGTGTCAGGATTTCCTTCCTTTTTAAAGCTGAATAATATTCCACCGTATGGATATAACACATTTTGTTTATCCATTCACCCATCCATGGACACTGGGGTTGCTTCCACCCTTTGGCTATTGTGAATAATGCTGCTATGAACATGGGTGTACAATATCTCTTTGAGACTCTAGTTTCGGTTTTTTGGGCATTTACCTGGGAGTGGAATTGCTGGATCATGTGGTACTTTAGTGTTTAACTCTGAGGAAACACCATGCTCTTTGCCATAGTGGCTGCACCATTCCTGCCAGCAGTATACAAGGGTTCCAATTTTCCTGCATCCTTGCTAACACTCGTTATTTTCTGTTTTTTCATAGCAGCCATCCACATAAAAACACACGAGATGGTGTTTCATGTGTTTTAAAACTTAAATGGCATCATACTTTGTATGTGCAGCTTGTCTTATACACTCAATATTATTTTCTTACTGTTTAGCCATGTGAACCCTGTAGATCTAGATTACTCATTTTACTATTTTTAAAATTAAAAGTTATACCTGTACATAGTCTTTTTTTAAAAAAACAGCAGTCACTGCCTGTTGCAGCTCTACCTCCCTTCCATGAATTCTCACTCCACCTTGAAGTGTTCTGGCTGTTTCTTCTGTTATTTCTGTTCATGTTTCCAAATATAAATACTGCTATTTCTTGATTTTCCAGTTTGAGATCTTAGCTATTACCCCTAGTAGGGAAGAAAGGAACTGAGCTCTCTGAACATTTTTTGAAGGCTACTCTTGACCTCTTGTTTTCTTAAGCTTATTAGACATTTGCATAATCCCAGGAATCAAGTGTTCAGAGTTCTGATCCTTTGCATTTTGAGAACCTTCAGGACTTGGTGGGTTGAATTTTCTTATCTTCAATGGAGAGGTTATCCCTAGGATCATGTTTGTAGAAGTACGTGGATACACTTTGTTTGGGTTTTTCTCTTATTAAGGAAAGTTAAGCTTGGTTTTCCTGATGGAGTTGAAAGGAGATCATGGAACCTTGCTGTTAAGAACTGTGGCTAGGCCGGGCGTGGTGGCTCACGCCTGTAATCCTAGCTCTCTGGGAGGCCAAGGCGGGC